GCCGGCAAGCCCAGCCGCATCCCCCGCGGGCCCTACGCGGAGGTGAAGCCCCTCAGCAAGGCCCCCGAGGCGGGCGGGGGCGGCGGAGGCGGCAAGTGCGACGACGAGCTGCTGGGCGGGAAGGGGCCGGCGGTGGCGGCGGGCGCTGAGGAGAAGCCCTACCTGAAGGTGGACCCCGAGCTGGTGGTGACGGTGCTGGGCGACCTGGAGCAGCTCCTCTTCAGCCAGATGCTGGGTGAGTGCGGCTATTGCGCCCCGCCGGCCTCGCGGTCAGGGGATGGGGAAATGGTGGGAGTCCGGCTGCCTGAAGCGTCGGGGAGCTCCCGCCACCCCCAGGAGGGACGCGCCGGAGGCTGCGTCGGTGTCCCAGGCACTGGAGAGGTGGAGGGATGCTGAGGGAGAAGCCGCCGTCGGCCTCGCTCAGGGGGAAGATGCCATCGGCCAGTCTGAGGGCCAGCGCGTGGCCTCCTCTCGCCTTGGTCCAGCCTCTTCACGAGGAGGAATGGCAGGTGGCGGTCATCCTGCCCACGTGTCTTTTCTGTCACCCCTTGTATCTACACACTGCCAAAGACAATGGAGGTTGCCCGGCCAGGTGCCACAGCCGCTCCGCGCCATCGGGGTGGCTCGCCCCGGGGGTTGACCTTGGCAGTTCTCTCTCGGAGGTGCCACGCATAGGGTCCCGCCCTTTGGGCAGGAGGCTTCAGATCCAGAGCTCCTCCAAGGTCTCGGGCTCTGGCTGAGGAGGGTTCTCCAAGGATGCTGCCACAGCGTTCACGTGAGCTGTTTTCAGCCCATGGCTGCCCGTGTCTTGCTATCCCGGCAGGTTTGATCCCTGAGCCCGTGCGGTCAAGAGCTCGTTGTGTGCACGGTGGGTTTTCATCAGATCAATAAGTGCTGGCCCCTGGCACCGGCCGTGGCTCTGATCTCAGGACCCGCTGCCCCCTTCGTGGGCTGTGGTGCTGGGTCTTGGTACAGGCGTGCCCAGCCCTCACGTTTCCCTCGTGGCTGTGTGGTGATCTCTAGGAAACCGTGGCAGCCTTGGGAGCCCTCTGCTTCCCGCTGAAGCCCGCTCTCCCCTGTGTCCCAACGGGCAGCGCCCATGGGCTCAGTGGGCTGGGCTGGGGAGGGACCATGGGGGGCTTGCAGCTGCTAAGAGCTCTGTTTGATCTGGCAAACTGGCATGAGAAGGTGGCAAACGAGCTCTGCATAGCCATCACGGTGCTCCCGGTGCCTGAGCAAGCCAGGTTTAAAGCTCCAGTGGCTGGTGGTGGAGAGGAGCAGTAGTACAGGCAGGGCTGGGACCCCTGGTGTGTCCAGTCCCTTCAGGTTCCTTGCCTGGGACCCCCTTTTAGGGGGCCAGGAGCTTCTCCGGCACTTGGAGAGCTGGCTTGAGATGCCTTCTCCTAGCTGCATTGTGAGCAGAGCTCTGCTGTGTGGAGAAAGGGGAGAGATTCGCCCCAGCTGGGTGCTGTGGGGGAGGTTTGGAGAGGGGGAGTGAGCTGGAGTATGTGCTGAAGTCAGGCGCCTGTAAAGCCGTGCTTGTTGAGTCCAGTTCCCTGCTGCACACCCTGCCGCTCCAGGAGGCTTCGGGGTGTCACAGCCCCTGCTCCAGTGCAGGGCTCTGGCACAACATGCACCGGTGCGTGTCGGCACACAGGCGTGGAGCCTCCCAGACCATCACCCCTAGCCCCCTGGCTGTGCACAGCCACAGGAGCAGCAGCGGTGGTGGTGTGCACCCTGCCTGATCCTCTCCCTGGCAGGGGTCTGCTCCAGCTGCTGGAGCATCCCGGGGCTCGCTGGGGCTGTGCAAACAGCTCGTGGAAAGCCACGGAAAGCTCAAGGTGTGGGCAGGCAGACCGTGAGGATGAGCACGCTGGACATGTGAGGCTGGCCTTGCAGGAGGGGCTCAGGCTGCCACGGTGGTCCTGCAGCTGGGCTCATGGACATCCATCCTCAGCCCTAATGCTGGGATAACACCAGATGCCATGGGAGCAGGGCAGGATTATGGGAGGATTTGTCACTTATGGGACTAACAGATCTCTACTCACTGGTGTTGGCATGCTTGGGGGGATCTCAGTGTCCCCCTGTGATGCTCTGCTCTTAGATGGGGGTTTCCTCAGCACCCCCAAGAGAAATTCTTGCAGCTTCCCTGATGGTGCAGGACTGGCCCATGTGGAAGTGACTCCTGGTTTATGGCAGCTGCTGGATGTACGAGATCCTGCCTGCAGGACAGGGACTTGTGCACGTGCTAAGACCATGGGTTGCGGAAGTGCCCCCAACACCTGCTTTGGTTTCTGGGGTCGTTGCCTAGCCCCTGCCTGCGTCAGGGCCTGCTTCAGGGCCACAGGGCTGACCTTGACCTTGAGAGGTGTTAAGCATCCCTTCAGACTGCACTTACCATCTGAAAGCTTGGTTAGCTGGTCTGTGAGGGCCAAACTCTGCTGAATCTGTCCTCTGAACCCCCCTAC